ATCACAGGGCTGTGAAACTATACAATCTAATAAATACAAAATAACCAAATATCTAAAAAGACAAAATTTCAGTTACAGTCAGTTTCAGTCTTATTGTTGCACAAACTAGTTATTTGACAAAAAAAGAAGATGATCACTCAATTGAAAGAAATTGGCGCCTAATCATAACGACAAGTTAAAAAAAATACTGTGGGAGAGATTTTTTAGGATGCGGACCTCCAAAGAGCCTTCAAAATTAAAAGTATACAACAAGTGATAGTGCCATGCATTCTGCATATCAAGGGCCAATACACATTTATACACCGGCTTTGTAAATCTGCTAAGTTACAAAACATGAATCGACAGTTGTCGGATTGTACATCAGTGACAAAATGCGTCTAGGCCCTCATTCTTGACTACAACTACTGTCGCCAGAGCCGCTCTCCGACGCGAATGCGTTGGAGCTTCCTGCTTGTTTTTTCTTTTTTTCTTTTAAATGCTAAAATGTTATTCTGGAGCTCTTGTATCAATAATTCGATTTGGAGTTTCCGTGAACTAAGGTCCCTTTTTTCCGCGGGCGGTCAAAATAAGTTAAATTTTCTTTGGAAAACTGGAGATTTAGGGATGGCTAACTCAAGGTTGCCATTTTGTACGGTGTTTTTGATTGTTAAGCTGGTTATTTTCAAAGTGACGGCAACTGGGTCGTCGCAATCCCACTTCTTACTCAGATCGTCCCCTTCCAGGAAAATAGCATAAGCTCTTCATCTTTCCTGGCATTTCATGTTTTGACAAGGGTACCATCAGGCGAGTTCGTTAAAAAGTTTCACCTAATTCTATTTCCACTACGAATAAATTGTTTTTTTTTTTTTTTTTTTTGTTTATTTGCCGCATAAAACTTTAGTACAATAAATTCTGTTCATACAATGAATGAAAACATAATTGATAATAAAAAAAAAGTAAAGACATAGGGACTGAGGCCTCAAAAGAAAAAAAATAGAAAAGAACAAGAGAATAGAGATAAGAGGCTAGTTTTTAAGGGCAGGACTTCCTTGAAGAGGAAGGTTTAAGATACGTTTGCGGCCCCGGAAACTGCCGTCTGGCATACATCGGAGGGAGTTGGTTGTTCGAGAGTCTTCCTCTTGGCGGTCAAGGATGCTTTCAGGAAAGTTCCAATAGATGACCAGTAGTTCCAATAGATGACCAGTACGAATAAATTGTTATAAATTACTCTAGTAGTTCGTTGAACATTCATTATTAAAAGAAAAAAAAAATGTGATACCAAACTTTTGGCAATCGTGGTACTTCGATGACACTTTTGGCAATTCTTCTGGAAGAGAACGAGATACTCAGCAAAATCTTACTCTATAATATAGAATCATAATTCATAAGAGGCTGACTGAAGGGGTTTCAAGTGAATCAGACTAGTGTACCATGCGCATACAATTTTTTCGTGTGGTTATTATTATTATTACAATCAGTGTTTGCTACATTGCCTCCAATCATGTACATTGTGGGTTGAACACTTACCTCTCGTACTTTCTGAAAAACTCGAATGAATTCATAAAGGATAAAATACTTACCTTGGACTTTTCGCTCCCAAAACGATGAGCTTACAATTGTGAAGAAGTGAATAACGCTTTAGATTGATGAAAAAAATGCACACGCGCTCACACGCACAACTTTTGCAGAATAATGTATACTTTCCGGAGTTTCTTCAAATCGCATTCAGCTTGACTTCACCTGGTGAACGACCTTCGCATATGTTTGTTTACCCTTTCGAAAATCTGTCTCTGCATTTCAAACATCGGGACAGTTGACCCTTCCCTTTTGGCGTCAATTATGAGTTTCCCGCTTACTGCCCACGCGAAAAGTTTTCGAGACTCTTGTCGCTCGTGGCAATGAATATCCGAAGAAGAAAAGTTCATATAGGAAATAGACTCCGTGACCATGAAAGTGAAAGGAAGAAAGTCTTAATGGTGGTCAATCGTGTTTCGAGAGTTTCTCTCAAATCGATGAGCTTATAAAGTGAAAGAAATATATTTTTGTGCGTTACTAGTGCCCAAACATATACGGAAAAAATGGATTGCTGATTTAACAATTAAATTGTTAAAAAAAAAGTGTCTGCAATGTTTCAAATGCACATTTTACAATAGTAAAAAGATAATCCAACCACGAGGGTCGTTGAAGTAACATTTTATTCTTGTAAAATCTACATTTAAAAATTTTTTGTTTTTAACTAAAAAATTGTTAAATCAGCATTTTAATGTTTTTCGTGTTAGTATACACTCTGTATCGTGAAAGAAATCAAATTTATATTCAGTGGATTTCGTTTTTAAATTTCCCTGATTTTAATATTGAAACTACCTCAAAAATGGGAGACAATAAACGCTATTGCGGCTTTTATTGTCTAAACTGTTGAAGAAAAAATGCAAAAAACACTATATCTGATTTCTTTTGGTAGCAATTTGACGATAGAAAAATTATATGAAGGCTGTTCCAAGTAAACTGAGAGTTGACCCGCTCTAAGCAAACTATTGAAGACATTGGAATTAGGTTTGTAGAATCTTGTAGTTCATCTCATTAGCTTTCTAAAAACCTCTTGATGAGGTTATTCAATGAAAAATTAGCATTTCTACGGACATTTTTCGGTGGCGTGTAAAAAAAAACCCCTTCGGAATTTTCGAGTCATTTCTCTCGCTAACTCCACTTGATGAGGACAAATTAGCACCGGAAATAAAGATTGCAACCTTATTGAAGCGAGATAAGACTAATCTACTACAGATCATATGAATGAAGTTCAAAAGCTCAGCCTATCCGAGATTACCTTCCACGTAAGAGCGGATGAGTGTTTTCTCCAGTAGGATCCCTTAGAAATTTAAGCAGCAGTAGGTATTATTGTTCTACCTTCAACCTCATAACCCATGGAACACCTACCTCCGAAATGTTGACAGGGATAATAGTTTCTGGATAGATCAAATTGATTCAGTAGTGAAAGCACAAGCGCAGGTCGCCTGAAGACTTTTACGAGACTCAAAAAGTCAGCCCTTCGGCTTTTTGAGCTGGAAAAATCTGGCTTGGCCGTCAACTTCATTGACAATTTTGAATTGACTGCGCTCTCAGTGGAAGAAAATGTTCAGATTTTATGAGATCGGTCGTATCTTGCATGCAGAAGGTTGCAATGTTTTTCTAATGTTACTGGATCCTCACAGCTGTAAAGCTGAAGAGTAAAAACTGGAAAGAATATCTGGGAGGGATGTTCTTATACGTTACCAAAAATCGCTGTTGAAATTTGTTGAAATAATGTTTCATCATTTGAAATGACAATAATTCCAACAAACTTTACAAAAGCTTCAAAATCATCCGTTGAAAACCGCTGACGCCGCAAGTTCGAATAATCGCGTCAAAAACAGTGCGGCCGATGCGGAACGCATAGTGGCGCCTTACAAGACCGTAGGATACTGCATGCATTGCGCGTACAGCACGGTGAGCGCGGCGGATAGTACAGCGCCTTACAAGTCGGCAGGATACTTCATGCATTGCGCGTATACCACGGTGCGCGCTCAAGCCGTCGAAATCGATCCTTAAGAGAGATTATAATGATGTGCCATTGCGAAAAGGACAAAATACAAAAGAAAATATTCTATGATTTTCACAAACATTACGGTAGGTGCAAACCAACGCGGACTTACCTTAAAATTTACAAAACTCGCGACATATTTGCATATGTATTCTGTACTCTTTGCAGCGTCAAATCATTGAAATTCCTTCAAAGGATCCATTTTCAAAGTTTTACTACTGCACTTACTCAAGGTTTGAAAAAAGTTTCACGTTAATGGTAATATGGACCTTATTCATAATAATCGTTCCTGAAGCAGCTTTTTCCCTTAGGAAGTTACATTTTACTTACGTTTTGTTTGAGAAAGGTTTAAAATTCCCATCCATATAGTAACATAAAAAGGACAGTTGTTGCCCATTTCGGGCAAAATGCAGCAGTATGACTTTGAGAATGGATCGATACAATGGAAATTTGAATCCTTACAAATGGATTGCAATGATTTAATACTGCATTCAGTGCAAAGTAAAGAAAACATTTTATGGCTTTGATGAACGCAAAGTAGGTGGGAAGTTATGGGAACCCACCTTAAAATTTACGAAACTCGCAAAATATTTTCGTTTGTATTTCGTACTTTTTGTAGTGGCAAACCATATTAATCCCTTGCAAGGTTCCATTTTCGAAGTTGGACACTGGAATTTTTCTTTCTTGGGAAATTGTTTCGACTTAAAACGATTCTTGTCGAAAAAGGTTTTTTTTTCTAAAGTTAAATTCGTGCGGATTTGATTTTTAAAGTCAGTTTTGTTGATTTAAAGATACGTTGCTTTGCTATCTTTTTTTTTTTTTTTAATTTACACTTAACAATGACAAATTAACTAGAAATTAATATACAGGTTGATCCAAAAGTCCTGCAAAACCCATTGAGCCCCCAAGACTCTTTTTTAAGGTGATCTCCTTGGCATGATGGGGGTTCCAAAAAATTGTTTCTTTTGACTTAAGAGCTCTCAAAAAATTTCATACCTCTATCTTAATTTTTTCAAAAGTTACAGTTGATCTCAGGTGCTGGTGGTTTGGGATTTTTTATTCACCCTGCACATGCATGTTCATGATAATAAAATGAAACGGCCAATTTACTTTTTGGTCCATACAAAATACTAATGAATTTTTGCTGTGGATCATTTTCCATAATTGATTTGATGAATTTAGATCAACTTTAAAAATGTATTGTTGCAAACCATCAAATACCTAAAGTAAGTGCAATTACCCTCTCAATAGCCACGAGGGTGAAAATTTCGAAAAGAATAAGAATGTGTTGGGATGGAATCTCGGACAAATCGACTCCTATAAGGTATCAAACTCGAAAAATATCTATATCGTTCAGTTTTTCAAACTTTATTCTCCAAAAATATCGACAAAACTTAGAGCCTTAATATTAAAACAAAGAAACAAAAAAGGAATAAAAAAAATCTCGATCGAGGAACAATAAGTTTATTAAAACTAGATTGATTAGAAAACAGAAACCTCTTGGTGGGAACGAAACAAAACAAGGAGGAAGAACAGGGTGCGTCAACCCACTTTGACCACGTAGTCTTTGGACAGGCTCGGACCTAACCTAACCATCGGCGAACAGTCGGCGCTTCCGGCCAGCGCATCGTAAACATTATTATTTAACATGGCTAAATCCCTCGGCCTATAATCTTCGTACGTCCGCCTCTTGTGACGGATCGACGGAATGTGGAAATTCTTCTCCGGTGGTTCCGTCACCGGGAAATCGTTCATCTCGGTCGAGTACCCGTCTTCCGTTTCGTTCCGACTTCCGTTCTCGGACCCATCCATCTCCGGTTCCGGTTCGACGCCGCCTTCCGATCCTGGTGGAACCACCACCAAGCCTTTGAACCCAATCTTGGGCACTACTTTCGGTTCTGGTGTACTCGAGTCTACGTCATCTAAGGAGCGTTTCCGGCGGTCTCCCATTTCCGGTTCTTTGCTTCCGGTAGCCTTGGCGCGGCCTAGGCGGATGAACCCGGAGCTCCGACGGATCTCGACGGGGTTGACGTCGGCGACGAAGAGGGCCGGGAGAGGGTCTCCGGCTCGGGCGAAGCGGAATTCGTCGCCGGAGCGTTTGGAGCGGTAGTTGATGTTATCCGACGGCGTCCCAACTTCCGCGTTCCGCCCGAAGCGAATGAAGTTCTCCGCCCGGCCGAAGCGGATGAAGCTGTTCTTCGCCCGCGGGTCGCGCTCGGCCAGGTCGTCGGCGTTGCGGAAGTCGTCCTCGGCTACCTCGAGGTCGTAGTTGGTCTCCGGGTAGTGGAGCAGGTTGGAGGCGTCGCCCCGGCCGAAGCGGATGAAGTCCTGCTTGCCCCGGCCGAAGCGGATGAAGTCCTGTTTCCCGCGCCCGAAGCGGATGAAGTCCTGCTTGCCCCGGCCGAAGCGGATGAAGTCTTGCTTCCCCCGCCCCAGGCGGATGAAGTCCTGCTTGACGCGTTTCGCTTTGGGCTCGCTGTCGTCGGCGATGAGTTTGTAATCTGATGGCGTCATGTTGATTATCTCGTCTAGTTCTGGCTCGTCCTGGTGTCCTTTGTCCTCCGAGCGCTTGCCGAACCTGAAAATAATCATAACCTTAGACCCCAGCCAGATTGACGCCATCTCTGAGGACAGAGCATAAAATACTACTTCTAGTTTTTTCACACAGAACAGAGAAAAAGAGATTTTCCCCTCTATAGCGCGAATACTTCGCAGGGTCATGACGTCAACATGGATTTGACCGTATTATAACCAACTTGTGTCTGTTTTTTTAGATTTTTGTTTCGACGGCTTCGTAATGATCAAGGCCAATAAAAATATGTATAACCATGGAAAGGACGAGGTAGCTTTCAAAAAATGGTTTAGGATGGGGTTTCTTTGAACTTGCATCGAATGGTGACCGAACACCCCATAAGTAGGATGAAAAGCAGGAGTCACAGTAGAGGGGCAGAAGTAGGATAAAAAACATCGGAAAAAATTATTTACGTAATATGAAAAGATTTAATTCAAATTAATTATAAAACTGATTTCGACGCAAGAGGGAAAAATCGCCATCTTCATGCCAAGATAACTTTTGAATCGAACCGCAACAATTCGCACGCGACAAAAAGATGTGTGACAACAATTTTGAGTGACAAAAATTTGTTACGTAGCTGGTATTTGAATGAGAATTTCGGTCACGTTAGAGATAAAAGGCGAGAACAGTATAGTCAAAAGAAATCAGAAACTAAGGAGAGTACTAAATACTTAACCGTGATCACTTACTGAGTTTTATTTAACGATATAAAAAGAAATAATATGCACATAAATTTGGAATGATAAAGTAAAGCCCCATCCCCCCTTTCACGAACCCCAGAGTCTGTCATCCTTTTTGCCACCAAGGCGATTATCTGGATTGCTTTCCTGTAAATCAGGTCACGTTAAGAGCGGAAACTAATACAATAATAGGATGTAAGGTGGCAAAACTAGAAAGCAGGTGACATGCGAGGATGCAAAAGTTGGTGTTAATAACGCTCACCTCATGAAATTTTTATCAAGAGGGCTCCTGCGCATAAGGGGGTCGATGGCCCGCTGGACGAATCGCTTTTGGACGACTCCCACCTCTGTGTCGTCATCATCGAGCGACCCTGTGTCCAGACCGATGACCTTCTCCGCTTCGACCAGGTCCGTGGAAATCCACTCGTAGACGAGCACGAAGAAACTAAAGTAACATAGCTTCAGATTCATCTGAAACAGAAAATATTTAAAATTAATTTGATTTGTTGAAACGGTGTTATAATTATCTCCTGAAGCCTCCCTTCATCACAATGCAAACCGAAACCACGTGGGCCTTCCTGGGTAAAGGAATGTAACGACTGTAAGGAATGTAATGTAACGACTTTGAATACCGCCCTATGAGGCCGTCTCTAAATGGACTACATTCTGCAATTTGGAACTATAAATTCTGGCTCCTCTGGAAAAACACTCATGTGCATAGGGAAACTAATGGCGCATACGTTGTTTTTAAACCGGGCTAGAATATATAGTTCCAAATTGCAAAATGCAGTCCAAATTACGAAATGCTTCTGCGGTTTCTGACACCCCCTCCAACCCCTGCAACGCTCCGTAACACTGTTCTAGAGCCCCCCCC